GGACTGACTTGAATCACCCTTCATTCTGGCCAAGAACCGAAGAGCCAGATGTCCTCAAGTACAAGCTTCTAATGGTGAATCATTTATATGCTATGAACCCCAGTTTTCTCATCTGTCATATGGGGCAATGAGCAGTGCCTGACAGCCATTCTCAGCAAATCCTAGCTGTTATTGCTTACACTGTGAGTTTTCACAGCAAACTATTGGTAGGAAATGTCCACTTAGAGACAATAGGGCTGTGTACAGACATTCACAGGCCTTCTCACATTCCTGGAATCTACCTTGGAAGAAAAGAGAAAACCATCTTTTCGGCTGCCTCAAAGTCCACCTTCTTGTTCTCTCCTGAGGGACTTTCCTTGCCAGTGTCTGCCTTGGGAACAGACATCCCCTGGGCTGTGCTGGGTCCCCTCTGATGTATGTACTCTGCTCACCTTTCCCAGACCCTCCCTGGCTCCAGTCTCACCTTCAGCCCTTGAAGTTTCCCCAGTGGCTCAGTAGTCAAATGGAATCCACTTTGGAACCTGCTTTTGGAGAGGCAGGACCCGCCTTGGTTTTTTTCCCCATGGCCATACTTCCTCCCCGTGGATGGGCATACATTTGGCTCCATCCCCAAAGCTGGTGAACTTGATACACACACACACACACACACCCCTCTTCTGGTGCCCTGCTGCTGGGCTCCCAGGGCACCCTGTTGACCCAGGCCCTTCCCACTGCCACTTTTTTGGGTTTCACTTTGGTGTGCGTGCGTGTCTGTGTGTGCACATGTAGAGGTCAGAGGTTGATTTCAAGGTGTTTCCTCTACCTTATTTTTTGAGTCAGTGTCTCTCATTGAACTTGGAAGTTGCCACTTTGGCTAGACTGGCTCGCCATGATCCTTGGGGATGCTCCGTCTCTGCCTCCCTCATTCCCAGTGCTGGGGCATAGGCTTGTCTATCCCCTATGCCTGGCCTTTTTTTTTTTTTGGTCTTTTTGAGACAGGGTCTTCCTGTAGTCCCAGCTGTCCTGGAACTCACTGTGTAGACCAGGCTGGCCTTGAACTCACAGAGATCTGCCTGCCTGTGCCTCCCGAGTGCTGAGATTAATGGTGTGCACCACCATGCCCGGCTGCCTGGCTTTTTATAAGGGTGCTGAGGATCTGAACTCAGGTCCCCATGCTTGCACAGCTATCTGCCCAGCCACCCCCAACACATTTCCACTTTTTATTTGCGGAGTAGGGGTTAGCATGTGATGATATCACCATGGTGCTGCAGAACATGCCCTCTGTCTTTTATTAACCACAGACAATAGGTTCTTCATGTCTTCCCTTTAGAGAACAGCTTTATTGAGACTTAATCCCCACCTGGTACAACTGACTCATGCAAACTGTAGCTCTGTGACTGTGGCTGTGCTTGGTGTTGGGTGGCATGGTGGTCAGCTGGAAACCCGTAATTAAAGACACCATTACTCCCTTCCCTTGACCCTCTCAGACCTGGGTAGCCACAATCTACATTCTAAATGTATGTAATTTCTTTCTCCTCTCTCTGTCTCTCTGTCTCTGTCTCCCTGTAGCCCCAGCTGGCCTGGAACTCCCTATATAGACCAGGCTGGCCTTGAATGCACAGAGGTCTGCCTACCTCTGTTTCCTGAGTGCTGGGATTAAAGGTGTGTGCCACCACACCCAGCTCGAAAGTGTAGCCCAGACTGGCCTTGAACCTTGTGATCCTCCTGCCTCTGTCTCTTGAGCACATCCTACTGGTGTGGGCCACCACAATCAGCTTTAAGGAAAAAAAAAAAAAAAAAAGAGCTTTTTGAGATAGGGTTTTACTATGTAGCCCAAGCTGATCTCAAACCTCCATTCCTTATGCCTTAGCCTTCTAAGTGCTAGGACTTACATGTGTGTGCCACTATACCCAGCCTAGGATGGATTTTTTTTCTATTCCAGATATTCATTTAATTAGGATATATAATATGCAAACTTTATAATTTATAGACTTCCTGGTTTCTTTCATTTAGCATGGTGACCTCTGAGTCTGCCCCTGGTTTAGCATGTCTCAGACCTTCCTGCCTTTTAGGGACTGAGTAGCAATCCATTCTAAAGCTGTATCTCATTTGCCTACTCACTTGTCAGTTGATAGACATGTGAGTCATCCCTTAACCTGTCAGGGTCCAGCAGCCTTATATCTGTGACTGCCTTTCAATTCCCAAACAATGTTTTTGAGGAGAGACTTTAAAAAATATCTTTTTATTCAAAGATTTCTGTGTGTGTGTGCGCGCGCGCGCGCGCGTGCGCACGCACACCTGAGTGTCTGTCTGACTGACTGTATGTCACATGCGCAAGTGCCCCTGGAAGCCAGAAGAGGGCATCAGATCCCCTGGAGCTGGAGTTACAGGCAGCTGTGAGCTACCTCATGTGGGTGCTGGGAACTGAACTCAGGTTTTCTATAAAAGCAGTATATGCTCTTAACCACTGATCCATTTCTTCAGCCCCTAAAAAAATCATTTTTATCAGAGCTCTTAATTTGCTCATGAATAATCCTTCCTCAGATATTATGTTCTAAGCCTATAAGAAATACTTGAATTAAAGTTCTTTTAAAATTAGTTTATAAGACTGGGCAGTTGAAGTAACAGTTTCTCTAGTTGTTTTGTGTAAATATTTAGGTTAAAAGATTTCACTCAATTTAGATGAATGTTCAAAGTGGCTGAGGAGAAAAAAAAGCTAACTTTTTTTCTCCCAAAGAGGAAAGCATTAGGAGTCATAAATAAATATACTCTAGAGTTTTAATGGAGGATGTGCCATGCCCCATGCTTTTTTATAACAGGAATGGCTTAGGGTCGGGCGGGCCCAGGACATCCTTATTTGAAATCCCGTGGGCAGCTGGTCTCCCTGGCATAGTCTTTACCCAGGCCCAATGCTGCTCTCAGTAGAGATGCCATTGCCCAGGCATAGGTGGAACTTTTCAGTTTCCCCAGTTCCTCTGAAGGTTTGCCGGCACTGACTGTGGGAACGAGGTCAGCTGGAGTCACAGGATTCTGTGGGGTGAGTTTGCAGGCCAGAGCCCCAGCACACCAGCCATGGGACTGTTCAACTTGGAGTCTAATCTGACCTGTCCCAAGCATGGGCACTCCTTCTCTGTGCTGTGCTGGGCAAGATCTCTCTGGGGTTCACACAGCTGGGATTTCCTGGGTTGCATGGGAACCTTCCATGCCCCTCCCTTAGACACCTGCCCCAAGGAATTCCTTCTTGAAAATCTCAGAGACTTGGGGAGCTGGTTTTGAGCCCTTTCCTCCTGTCACTGAAGGGACAAAAATGTAACAAGATGGGAGGCAAAAACCTAATACACACATACTTAGAACCAAAAGCATGATCAACAAGGAGTGTCTGAATAAACGAGATAGCTCCATTAGGAGTGCTCTGCTGGCCCTCCACTCTCGTGTGGAAAGGTGAAAAAGACTCAGGGCTTTAGTACCAGTGGATCTTGATGGCTCTGGGCTCATGACTGCATTTCTGTGCTTATTTGTCTTGGCAACAGAAGGATGCTACCTTCCTCACTCCATGAGGCTGCTGGTGGGGGCGGGGGTTCCCATAGATGGCTTACACACTAGATGGGTGGTCCTATGCAGCACTCATTAAAGCTCTTCTTCCTCAAAAGATTTATTTTACCATTTCCTACCCACATTTTAGGAGGAACTATTTATAAGGAACCTTCAGGGTCCTTTTCCCATAGAATGGCACTGGTTCTTTGAGCCAGAGGAAAGTCATCTTTGTCTCTCTGGAGTGCCTGGCACCCCTTGAGTCAACTACAGGGTAAGGCACGCAGCAAAAATTTGACACATGGAATTGGGCAGGTTCTGCAGGAACTAGTCTATCAGTTTCGTAAACGTCAAGAACAGCATAGCCTTTCATATAAAATCCACATTCGTAAGAGCTATGAAAACTTTTGCCTTGATTGGTGATTTTCATTTACATCGTCACATTTAAAGACAAAGCTTTAACTGAAGAGCTAAAAGTAGATACCAGCAACCTAGAATCTGATGTGGAAGCCATAAATATCTAAGTTGGCAGTTTGTTTCCTCCAGTGGCTTTCTTGGCAGAAAATAAAGACGACAAAAATGACTGCATGACTTAAGACAATGTGGATTGCTGGGCAATGACACTTAAACATTTAAATTTCTATAATATGCCCAGCCTGCAGAGTGCTGTCCCTGAGGTGAGACAGTACTGTATTACTGTGAAAAGACTCCCTTGCTACATACGAAGGGGCTGTGTGAGTTATTTAACTGCTGTAAGTTTATTTCCTATTTTTTGGCATGTGTATGTGTGTGTAGTGTGCATATGTGAAAACTGACACGCGAGCACACTCAGGAATATGTGTGTGAGTGCATGTGTGTGCATGTAGGTGAAGCTGACATCTGGCATCTTCCTCATCCGCTTTCCCCTTTATTTACTGAGGAGGGTCTCTCACTGAACCTAGATATCTCAGATTCGGGTTAATCTAGCAGGCTTGCCCTGCAGTCTGACTCCTGAGTTCTGGGATGTTACGCAGCCAGCACACCTGCCTAGCTTGTATAAGGATGCTGAGGATCTCAACTACAATCCTCATGCTTGTTCATGGCAAGAACTCTGTCCACTGAGCCATCTGCCCAGCTCTATTTCTTAATTTAAAAACAGGAATGACAAAACCCGCTTGTAAGATTACTATGCAAATCACATGAACTAAGGTATAAACTATCTCCTCCTCAGGGTAAGTGTTGCCAACTCAATGGAGACTTTTGTGATGATAAAAATATCACAAATAATATGGATGAGAAAGTTGCCAAAGACTAAAGACTACACCCTTGCAATTAGCAGGACTGGAGGGCAATTTTGAGCCTTCAGCCTCTGAGTTCATTTCTCTCAGCGGTCCTGTGTACCGCAGGAATATTTTGGTGCTTTTGCTAGCAAAACTCCCCATTCCAGTGTACCCCTCCTTTGGTGTCTCTGGCTCACCCGTTTCACATTTTGTCTGCTTTTCTATTCACAGAACATCATCAAGAAAGTGATTGGGCAGAAGTTCGTGTACAAGTTTGTTTCTTTCCCAGAGATCCTAAAAATGGATCCTCACTCTGTGGAGATCAGCCGGGAGAGCCTTCTGCTGCAGGACAGCGACTGTAAGGTGTCCCCCGAGTGCCGCGAGGCCCATAAGCATGGTTTATCTGCTCTCAAAAGTACTAGCCGCAACGAATACATCCACTCAGGCCTGTACTCGTCCTTCACCATCAACTCCCTGCAGAACACCCCAGAGGCCTTCAAGGCCATCAAAACAGAGAAGCTGGAGGAGCCGTGCGATGACAGTCCCCCTGTGGAAGAAGTCAGGACTGTGATCAGGTTTGTGACCAATAAAACCGACAAGCACATCACCAGGCCGGTGGTATCCCTGCCCTCCACGTCTGAGGCTGCAGCCGCGTCTGCCTTCCTGGCTTCATCTGTGTCAGCCAAGATCTCCTCTTTAATGTTGCCAAATGCTGCCAGCATCTCATCTGCATCGCCCTCCTCATCTCGGTCCCCATCCCTGTCCCCCAACTCTCCCCTCCCTTCTGAACACAGAAGCCTCTTCCTGGAGGCCGCCTGCCATGACTCGGATTCTCTGGAGCCTTTGAACCTGTCGTCAGGCTCCAAGACCAAGTCTCCATCTCTTCCCCCAAAGGGTAAAAAACCCAAAGGCTTGGAAATCTCTGCTCCCCCACTGGTGCTCTCTGGTACCGACATCGGCTCCATCGCCCTCAACAGCCCAGCCCTCCCCTCAGGATCCCTCACCCCAGCCTTCTTCACCGCACAGGTAAGGCCCATTCCCATGCTCCTCTAGAAGCAGAAAGAGCCACCAGAGCCACTTCCCCTGGCCTCCAAGAGATACCCCATGACCACTGTCTCAAAGTCACTGTGTACACAGGGCGAGAAATTACTTCTGCAGACATGCACAAGGAAAGACTTGGTATCTTGGTGACTGAAGACCGTTTGATTGACTTCTTTTGTGGCCCAGATTGTCTGCAGATGGATCATGCCATAAGGAAGATCTAAATGGGGAGAAGTTCAGGGGCAAATTTGCAGCTTCAGGGGCATTTAGGCCTTGGGAATTTTTTATGGCCAGTCTTCTGGGGCACTTAGAAGCTGTTTGTATTCTGCTTACAAGAAAATGGGTGGTCACGGCTGGTACCTTAGCAGTTGTCAGTGTGGAACAGTGTGTGCCGTTTTGGCCTTTAGCAAGAAACATGAAAGTTACACTCAGAAGGAAAGCCCTCAGTGAAAGCAGAGCTGCTGTGGAGAACCCCAAGTCCACACGAGGGGAGTGAAGATAAACTCTTGGAATGCAAAAGTCATAGCTGCTGTTAGGCAGCCTTTTCCTCCTTTAAATACATCGTGGTGGATGTGTCTGATTCAGCTGCAGCACAGAGTAGGTGGCCACAGACCAAACTGGATGCAGTTTAATGGCCCAGGTTAGCACCATGGCATAGATTACCTTCTTGCCTCCTCAGCTTTGGAGGTGAGGGACTGTAAGCAGGTATTCCCTGAGTGACAGTGTGTCATGACAGTGCATTGGGATGGTAGCCTTACTCACGGAGGCAGCTCTAACTAGCAGGCATTAGCATCCTGGAGCTTTGTGGCTCTGTGTGGGGTCATTCTGTAGGTGGTTGCCTGCTGTCATCATAGTTGTCATTGTCAGCAGCAACAGCAGACACTCAGCTCTTGGCTTGTGACAGGCACTCTCCACACATCACAGGCCTCACCATCTGTGTATGACACCTGCCTCTAGGCATGGATACTGCTGTCATTCCAACAGCCCGGCTGAGGTGACTGGGGGACAGAGGTACAAAAGCAACTTGTCCTGGTACCCACAGCTGTAGGTAGGAGAGATGAATTTGGATCCAGTGGTGTATTGCCTCTAGAATCCATGCTCTGAAACTAAACACTCCCTGCCCTCCCATGGGGAGAAAGCCAGCTGCCCCTCATCCTGACAACAGCCTAAAAGGTCTGCAGAGCAGCTGTAAACAGCTCTTTGCCACTTTGTTCTCTAGGGCTTCCCAGAAGTGATGTGACAGCTTACTCTTGTGAAGTGGCAGTTTCAGGCATGTCACCACAGAGGAGAGGCCCAGGCTTCACTCCCTTGCAAAGCAAGGCCACCTGGAGAGAAGAACTGAGGAAAGGCTCCAAAGTAGCAGCTCCCACTGCAGCTGAGAGAAGTAACAGAAGCTGCCGGGCAGACAATCTGCCCTCAGTGTTTACCACTGTAAGGTTAAGAGAGGTCTAAAACCAGGCCAAGGCCACCTCCTATTTCAGTGTCTGTGTTTTCTGGAAGCCTGTATCACTTCTCTGAACAGAGTGAGGCCAATGCCAGCCCTGTGTATCTCAGGGGAAACTGACCAGGTTCACCCTGGAGCTTTAGGCCTGGATATTGTGAACTTAGGGGGTAGGCCTCTTAATGGGGATAGGGGAGGCAGGGCTGGGGTGATAGGAGGGGCCTCGACCTGAGAGAGGGATCTAGACATGAGGGCACAGTATTAAGCCAAGGAGATAGAAGCTACTAGAATGGCCTAGAGTCAGAGGAGAAAGCTTTGAAAAGACAGGTGGCTGGAACAGAGGGCCTGTGCCTCAGGCATTTGAGAGCAAAAGCTGTTCAGTCAAGCTGAGAGAATGCTACCTCTATTGAGTGAGTACCAGGGAAGTTCAAAAAATAGGGCCACAGCTTTCTGGGAAAGACCAAGGACAGAGAGTGGAAGGAAGGCCCAGGTTACGGCCTTTGAATCAAGGGGTTCGTAGTAGTGTTCTACTTGAGAAAGTACAGAGCCTGCCTGCTTGGGGAGGTACTAAACCTCAGGACCCACCCAAACGTAACCCAAGATTCCCTCATGCTCCTGAAGTGTAGTGGGCCCTACACTTGCTATGGCCAGGGATGGCCAACAGAGAGGGAGAGGAGGGCAGAGGTAGGGTAGTATGCAGTCAAGGCTGCCTTCTCAGCCTGTCCTACTTTGGTGATTTATCTGGGATGAGACAGGCTACATGTGGGGTTTTATTTTGATAAGCCTCAGGTCCTTCAGGATTAGGACAGGCTTGAAGTCTTAAGATTTGGACTGTAGAGAAGCTTTACTAAACAGGTTGCTAAAGAGGGCCCCCAGAAGCTCACCCACCCTCCCTCAGCTTTCCCACCCACCCTCAGCTCTCTCCTTCCTGGAGGAGGTCTGGAAACCAAATGAACATCCTGCTCAACCCCATGGGCCTTAGCCTTGGTGAGGGAGAGTTCATGTCTTGGCTCACTGGACTCTCTGCCTACCTTAGCACTTCCTCTTAGCCATGGAAATGTCCCTTTCTTCTGTGGGGTGTTCTGTGTGAAGTGTGACCTGATCATCAGCACATCGTATTTGGTCATCTGTGGGCACTTCCTCTAAGGTTTTCTCCTAAGCTTTCTTTAGTAGAGATGACATGTGCTGTAATAACTCAGTACCCTGTAAGGGAGAAGGAGAAGGGAGTGTTGACATCATCCGTGTCACGTGGCCACAGTTCTTTGCCAGGACATTGTGAAACCACATACTTCATGTAGGCCAGATTTCCGATTCGAAATTTTGACCTACAACTTGATGTACAGGAAAAAAAGAAAAAAAAAATCCGCATCATTCTGCCACGTCTGCCATTCGCAGCAGAAATAGTTGTTTCTGCCAGAAGCTGGATGAGTGCTGGGAACACCACCTTTGGTTTTAGGTTTCTAATAACAGGCAGACCTCTCCAGTAGGGGACTGCAAGGGACTGTAAAAACTTGAACAGAAAAGTCAACCAGGTACCAAGAAGTGATGTCCTCAAAGTTTAGCCACGCAGATTATTCCTGAATGTAACTGAAAAGCAAGGCTGTCTCTCTCTCTGGTGGCACAAGCTACCGAAATCAAGGCTGAAAGGGTAGAGCCGGGACATGAAGCCCTCCTGGTCTTTAGCCAGGCACCTTGTCATTCTCTGTGTCTTCTGTACCTTGTATACCTCTGTGTCTTTTGTACCTGGCTTCTTCCTGCCATTTGCTCTTTGGTGCCATTGCTCGCACCTCCTGTCTTCACAAGACGAATTAATTCAGAATCAGAAGCTGACACACAGCATTTCTCTTGTACATGCCAAGACTCGTGTTCACCTCATCTGTGCTGTGCGAGATATTGAACTCCGATATATCTGGACACTGGGCATGTATTCACCATCAGAGTCTGAGTATGCATGCCCCAGGGTATTTGCTCAACAGCAGTTTGGGATTAGCTAAGAGTGAAGACAGCCTGCTAGGTCTAAAATGCTAGGCCTGCTTGCCTCCTTTATTATGGGGTGATGAGACAACTTTGAGCCAGTCACAAAGCAAGAGTCCAGAGCAGTTGGAGTGATCAGAGTGCAGCCCCCATCCCATCTCTGGAGTGGTTTTCCAGCTTCGTCTTTTTTTACCATTACCATCAGAAGGAAAAATGTTTGGTACTTTTTTTCTTCTCCCAAGGGTTTTTCAACTTCCTTCTTATTCTGTAACACTTCCCCAGCTCAGCCTCCAGTTCTGTCTGCAGCAATGCGCAGGGGACATCCTTGAAGGTCACTGCAGTGGAAGATCTACAGATGGTTCTTGGTTCTTCAAGTTGTGGGTTGCCCTAAATAAACCATCTAGGAGAGCACCTTTCCTCTTTGTGTCCTGGGGTTCCCTTGTCACCCAGGTTCTCCTGTTGCTGTTGATCTCACAGTTCCGCCTGCTTGCTCATCCCATTCTTCCCCTAATCTTTCAGTACCTGCCTGAGGTGCCAGACATCCTCCTGGTCTCCTTTTCTTCCAGATCAGGGCTACACAAACTGTGTTTTTTATTCCTGTGTGATTCTTTTTACTAGTATCTCAAACCACCATCCACACCCTCTTATGTCAGTCACGTGGCAGGCCTCTTTGGAATCAGTTCCCTTGGGGAGATAATCAGTGAACTTGCTAGATCCCCGGAGATACCAAGGCTAACAAGACCCTAACTTCCTGTTCTCATGAGCTTACTGATGCTGTCTAGAATGTAAAGAACATGGGGTAATAAATAATTTAGGGCAGCTTTAAACAGAGAAGTTTAGACTTGGTTTGATAAATTCTAGAGACATGTCAAACAGCAAAAAAAAAATTCTTCATTAGAGTTAATTAACAAATAACTACTGACCATTAATTTTTTCAAGGACATAAAAAGGAAA